CTGCCTGACAATCGCGGACAGGTACCACCGGCCCCTGCCGAACCAGCAGCAGGACAGGGACCGCCGGCTCCTATCGAACCAGCAGCACCATCACCCGAGGCGCAAGCCGCACCACCACTTGCGCGGCTACGAGCATCAAGACCCGGCTCTAGAGCCGGACCCACGGCGGGCGCCAGCAGCCACGACTTTACCGTAGGCAGACATGCTGCTGAACCTGCTGCAGGGCCACTTGCCTCGAGCGGAGCTGGGAGTTCGGATGGCCACCTCCGACTGCCGCAGGCTAGAGTCAGACGTGGCCGACAGCAAGGAGGAGATGCACCTCCACCGCCGCCAGCGGGTAACCCTGCTGCACGACCACGACTTCCAGACTGGTCAAGGTTCGACGTACAAATCAATTTACAAAATTTACGAAACCTTGACCCAAGCGTCGTAACACGCGAGCTGCGGAAGCTACACTTGCTTTGGTTCCATGCGAAAGAGCCTGAGATGAGACTCAGCTTAACCAAGATAGGTCTGGACAACGTCAGACTCAACCTGATCAGAGGTGTCTGCGACACACGTCGGGAGTGCAGGGCTTGGGACAAGCCTGGGCATACGGTTATGTCATCTACTGCACTGCCTCGCAGATTCAACGAAGAAGTTGAAGGTGACCTGATGTTCTACAAACAAGAACATAACATATTCCATATCACCGACCGTTGCATGCGATATGCTACTGGAGTGGAGATACCAGGCAAGACGATGACCAGCATTCTGGATGGATACCATCAGTGCTGGGTGCAGTTTGGACCTGCAAAGGTACTCTACTCCGACGGAGAGGGTGCCCTCAACAACGACACTACGCTACGACGATCGAAGCCAGAAATGGCATATTGCGCCATCTACCTCATATCATGGAAGCTGAACTCAACAGGTTAGACATAGGTCTTGTGTTCACACGACTACTGCATGAGGCCTTGTTTGCCGCCAACGCGTTCACCTTCTTCAAAGAGGTGTCTCCATACAACTCTCTGTTTGGACGGCAACCGGCAATGCTCCCTGATTTACCTATCCCGGATCACGAACAGCCGACGGAAACGTCGGATCATTCTCGTGAACAGATGATACGCAAAGTATGCATTGAAGCTTTTGTGCCACTGCAGTAGCCAAGACCAATCGTGCATTACGCACGAAGACAACTGTTACTGGTCAGCAGTACTACGATGAAGGAGATTTAGTTGATTACCATCGCCCCACAACAACGAAGGACGACTGGGGGGGCTAGAATGGCCCATTCCCAGTCGTAAGAAACGATCCCGAGAGGGGTCAAGTCATCATTCGAGTGGGAAACCGCGACGTTCAGGTACAATACGGCGATGCACGACATTCACTCGGTATTGAATCTTTGATAGCCTGAGAAATTGGCCCCGGTAGCGCTGCACTACGGACAGTGTTGACGTTCGGGGCCAGTTTACCTGCGCGGAGACCTGCTATGACATTTGGCTATGTACCGACCAAGAAGGGGATGCTTCAGATGACGCGTGCAAGCCGAGCATATCCTAAGGTACGTCTAGCTTTACACAGTACCTTATCAGAAACTTCTTCCGCATTGAGAACGTAGTTTCTGTCAGGTTAGCCAAGAGTATCCATCAGCTACGTCCGGTTGCTTACGCTGGCAGTTGCACATTGGTCCATTATGGCAACGATGTGAATCCAGAAGTTCACGATCATGAAGCAGAAGGCACCGGTCTTAACATTCACGATAGAACTGGATCAGCACAGTCTAGAATCATCCAGTGCCTGAAGTCCACCGAACCTCAAGCAGGCTTTGACCAGGGTATGACAAAGCTTGAGGAATTGGCCGATGCACCGACACCGGATGGAACTGCAAGAGAAGCGCCAGATGCCGAACCACCACAGGAGGATGGACGGCTTCCCACGGTTTATGGGGAACCGGAGGCTAACCTCGAGGCACAAGTTATGGAAGTGTGGTAAACAGAACTACAAGATGAAAAGGAACTACTGGAGGCAGTTCCATTAGATGATCTTTTCACAGTACCCACACATATGATTCCAGACAGTAGTGCGCTGATCACTCTAGCTGAAGAACAGCGGGGACACCTGCCTAAGTGGGGACATTCACGCGACTCCGACACCGAGGAGACGTTTTTGTCCCACTGTGCTCCGTGGTGGAAGATTGCAGTTAAGGACTGGACTCATATGAGAATAGACAACATGTAGAACTCTGCTTTACGGCAGAAATGTCAAAGGTAGTCCTGTCCGAACAACAGCAGAGGATATTATATGCCGACCGTGTGACCACCATGCGAGTATATGTTACCGCCGCTGCAAAGTGAGCTGTGGTCGTCAAGGAAGACTACCTCCTCGCGAAGGCTGACATCCAGGCGACTCCCGAGAAAGTATCGCAAGCCCTCTGCACCGAATTCAAGGCATGGTTTGACAACAAGTGTTTCAACATGTAAAGACCTATCTAAAGCGTAAAACATCATGACTTCGAGGTATGTGCACGCGTGGAAGTTGGCGAAGAACGAGAAGGGCGAACTGTAACGTATCATCAGATATGCGCTTGGTGCTTCGAGGCTTCATGAATCTCGAAGCCTTTGACGGGGGAACCTTTTCGGGAACAGCCGGCGGTCAAGCCATAGACGACTCGCGAGCGCGGCGGCGTGAAAGAAGCAATGGATCATTGCCTCGCTTGACATCAACATGGCCTTCCTGAAAGGGTTGACCTACCAGGAACTTGCTGAGGCAACTGGTGAGAAGGAACGTGTGGTGTGTTTTGCTTAGTCCCTGGATCGGCCGCGGCGCTTCGAACTCTCCCAGGATTCGAGCGCTAAGACGAGTCAAAGCACTGCTTGCAGTGCCTTAAGCCAGGCACTGGCACCAACGATGCACCCCGAGCTTTCTCACTAAGGCTCAGAAGGACCACGAGGGGTTCTGGTCTCAGACCTACGTCCTACGACGAGGAGTTCGAGACGAGCAGCAACCTGCTTACGGCCAAACATGTTGACGATACCAACATGGCCAGCACTGAGGGCGCCATTGACAAGCGCGTCAAGAGCGTAGAAGACACCTCTGGCAAGTGTAAACTCAACAAGCACACATGCACCAATTGTGCTGTGAGATATACCAAGGATGAGGACGGCAGTGCTACTTTGGACCAAGACGAATGCATCCAGCAGCTCCGCCCTATGCAACATGCTGAACTTACCGGCGCCGACGCTGACGCTCAGGCATCCAATATGGTTGCATACATGATCGTCAGCCTTAGAGGCGCGCTGGCGTATGCATTAATCACCCAGGTGCGGTTGATGGTGCATGTTGCTTCTCTACAGCGTGCCCAGGAACCGGCCGATGTACAAGTGCGACGACTGAGCGCGATCACCAGGAAGCTGCAAGCCTGCCCTACGAAGATCGTCTACCATGCGATGACCCCTACGGGCGAGGTTGACCTGCACAGCGACTCAGGTCACCGACGCCTGAGTGGAGACGCCGATGACGAAGTCGAAGGCGGTGGTATTCGCAGGGCAAACCTGCAACGGCGTGGAAGCACGCCATCTGGTAAGCCCGTCGTCAACTTGACCGATGCGCACTGCAAGTCTCACCGTTTGCAGGTCCGCTCAAGCTACTCAGCACTTGGAGGGCTGCTACCCCACGACCGTGACTCTTCACGAGCTCCACGCTGGGCCGCGAACTCCCACTCAGTTGAAAGATATACTTGAGTTGGGTGGCCTGAGCATCAAGGTCGCTTTGACCATAGATGTTGAGTCTGCTTTTAAGTCCTTGTCAAGCAAAGACTTGAAGAAACCGTCTGGGTATACCCTTGTAGGACACATCAGCTGGAAACGACGGATGATGGAGCGAGGAATCGTGCGCAGTATTCAGTGGTGCGACACCAGCGATATGAATGTGGACGGTCACGCCAAGGGGACCATCGACAGAGAGATGCTCCTACAGGTCATGGGAGGTACACAATCCTTCAAACATGACTGAAAGAGTCATACTCCCTATCGGGCTGGCCAGACATCCCGTTCTGTAGCCGCCTGAGGAGTATCTGTATGCACAAAAGTGCAGGCAAGGCAACTTGCGTGCGGGTCCACCTTCCTTACGGCCCCGCCCTCTTGCTGCCCTTTTTGTAAATAGTCGTTGCTGTACCTGTTGTATAGAGGCGGCGGGTTCACGCCTCGTCTCCCTCCCCCCCCGACTCTAAAGTGAGGTGGGCGTTGCATGTGAGTGGGAACGAGCGTGCATCCGCGGCTGCTTGGCTCAAAGCGGCCGGCCGCCCAGATCTGACTACACTTCAGAGCGAGGTGTACCATTTGCCATCGGTACCAAAACTGCTTGGGATGGCTCGCCCCCCACTATTGGGACTATCGCTACTACGGTGCAACAGAGCGGGAGCTTTGCTTCGCCTACGGCGAAGCTGCTGGTTGGGCCTCCCAACTCTTTTTCAAACTGTATGCGTGCGTGCGTGCGTGTGTGTGTGTGCGTGCGTGTGTGTGTGTGTGTGTGTGTGTGTGCGTGCGTGCGTGCGTGCGTGCGTGCGTGCGTGCGTGCGCGCGTGCGTTCGTGCGTGCGTGCGTGCGTGCGCGCGTGCATGTGTGTGTGCGTTCGGCGCATTGCCCGGGTCCAAGGGCCTTTTGTTGAGGCAGGGCAATTTGACGGATTGTCAAAGGTTCCGCCCCCTTGTTGTGGAGCATAGCAACTGGCTGGCGCGAGGGGGCCCTGCCCCTCGCGCCGCTCCCTTGTGCGCGCCGCCGATGTGGGTTTTCGATATTGAGCTTGGGTCTCAGGCGGCCGCACTCGGACCTCAGGCGGCCGCTGGGGACGAATTCGGTGTTCCTGGAAAGCTTCCTGCGAGGCGCAGCTGAAGGAAAACACTTCGTGGGCTCCGAGAGCCGCCGACAATTCCCGAGACCCTGTCTGAATCACTGAATGCTGGCACGGGCTGCAGTTTGCCCGCGCGCGACAAGCCCACAGCGGCCTCGCCGCTGGGGCAGGTTCGACTCATACGTCGGGCGGCTGCAGTGGGGTTTCGGCATGCTGCAGGGGCTGCGACGCGGGTCGGAGCTGCTGGTGAAGCAGGACACGTGCGCCAGGCGTTCGGGCGCACTCCGGGTGTAGCGGGGTGGGAACACAGGAGCTTAATTCTCCCTGCGAGCTCTCGAGGTTCGAAGTTTCCGAACGTTCCCTTATGTTCCGAATGGCTTTCCAGCCTCGGACTGCTTTTCGGCACTTGCGCCTCTTCGAAAGTGTTCCGTGGGTTCGCTAGAGGCCCAGGCATTGTTCGTCGGGGGCCCAGACATTGTTCGTCGTGCAAAAATCACGGCGGAAGGTTTTTGAGTGTGTCCGGCTTCTGGCCCCCCCCGGACCGTGAATAAACGACCTGGGTTGAAAAGTTGGTTTCCTGGGACTTGCGCTGTTTAAACGTCATGACGTCGAATGCCTGGGGGGAATCCAGAGGCCAGTGGTGGGGCGCGGTTCAGGACCCGACGCACCAGCCAGGGTGCATTTATATCCGATCCATCTGATTCGATGTCGATTCTAGTCCAGTCCAGTCCAGAAACTTTGCGCCAGCCACAGCGCGTGAGCAATGAGTGAAAACATGTGCACTGAAGCGGATGCCTTCAGCACGCCTCCCATGCCCTGACCGCCTGCTCCCACCTGCGAGCTGCACCGCCCTCTCGGCGGAAGTAGTCAGCAAGTCGCTCATGGGAGCCGGCGACATTCAAACAACTCTTTAGCACCATGGGCCCACAAGACTGTCTCGGGCGGCCTCTTCTCCTTTTCCCAAGGTGGCTCGTGAGAACCAAACCGCCCGGCTCAAACACCGAGCTTCTGACTGGATCTTTGTCTTGCTTTCTGGCTAAGTGGCCCATGTACAACATCTTTACGCGCGAGACTATCGCTCAGAGGCATCTGTTGGCGAATCTGCAAAACTGTATGATTCGACACACGACTGATGTATGACGGGGAGATTATGCAAATACCCGTCGAGACGTCTTTGCTCGGCCTGGTTAAGCTCGGCCTGGTTAAGGCACGCAGTGAATAATACATACGTGAGATTGGAAACCACGCAAGCGTTAAATATACGCAGCTTCTGTCTCCTACTCAAAGTCGACTGCGACCAGATCCTTGCAAGCATCTTGAATTCACTTCTGGCCGCCCCAATTATCCGACTCAGTTCTGTGCCGATGTGCCCGTCCGCAGCAAGAGACGTCCCGAGATAAATTAGCGACTGCTTTGCTGGGATGGGGACCTCGTTGCGTCCCAAAATATCTGCTGCAGTCCTCACTTCCATCAGTTCCAATTTGCCCCAATTGAACTGCAACCCGTAATGGCCCCCGCACTCTTCAATGCAGCGCATCATCTCTTGAACGAGGTCTGGGTCAGAGTCTATGAGTAATGTGTCGTCCGCGTACACCAGCTCCCTCGCAAATCGACTTTTAGGTATCGTTCCAGCACGACTCTGAAGCAGCGCGTGCGCGTCCGTGAGAAGCGTCGTCATCACAATGGTGAACAAGAAAGGGGAAAGTGGACAGCCCTGGCATATGCCGTACCTCTGCTGATGCACGCTGGACGTAGCCCCGAAATCCCTCACGACGAACTTGCGCTCGCCATAAATCGATATGACGACGTCCACGAAGCCTTCTGGGCAGCCAAATCTCCGCAACGATCTGGCGAGCGCGTCTGGCGAGACCGAATCGAACGCCTTGGCCCAGTCAAGTGCCAGGAACAAGCGACTTGCATCTCGCGTTAACCATGTGTCGTCCAACATCCGGCGGGCGAGGAACATTGCGTCTGCCGTGCCCCTCCCCGAGCGGAACTCGAATTGGGTTCGCCAGATGCGGTCTTCGGCCCCCGCCTTCTTCAGCCTCTGGAGCAGGATGGTCGCGAACAATTTGTAGCCGATGGTACAGATGCTGATGGGGCGGTAGTTCTCGCATTCAGCAGGGTCGCTTTTCTTGAGCAACATCGACACCCTCGCATGCCTCCAAGCTTCTGGGATCTTCTCCTGTCCCAGATGTCGATTCCAGCTGGCCCGATCCGATCCTATTCCAGTATTCGGTCGATCTCATGTTGCCCGAAGCTTGCATGGCAATGTTGTGCACCCCTGTGCAGCCGATTCGACTCCATTCCGATTCCGTGCCGATGCGGCCCGATCCAACGCACCCGCTTCGATCCGATCCGATCCGAGTTCCCGATTCGATGCCCGCGCTGTCGCCTCGGGTCGTTGTCGGGGACGTTACTTTGAGGGGCGAAGCAGCCCTGGCCGCACCGTGGTTGAGGATTTCGCAATCGATGAACATCAAAGTGAGCGCACAAGCATGTTAAATAGCCAGCGTGGACCCTAAACAGTGAGGTGCAATCTAGGTGGTGCAATCAATGTGGTGCAATCTAGGTGGTGCAATCCATGTGGCATGTGGTGCAATCTATGTGGCGCAAGACAAGGCAATCAATGCAGACCAATGCACAGCAACGCAAAACAATGCAACTCGATGCACATCAATGCACATCACGACACTGCGATTGCAAAGCCAAGCAAAGCAATGCAACGCAAAGCAATGCAAAGCAAATCAACGCAATGCAAGGCGATGCGACGCAGTGCAAAGCAAGGCATAGCAATGCAACGCAATGCAGCAATGCAACACGATTGCAATGCCACGCGCCGCAATGCAAAGCAATGTAAGGCAATGCGCAGAGATGCAACACACTGCAAAGCAACGCATCGCAACGCACCGCGATGCAATGTAATGTAATGCAGCGCAAAACGATGTACAGCATTTCAATGCAATTCACACCAATACAACGCAAGGCAACGCGATTGCAGTGCGATTGCAATGCCGTGGAACGCATTGCAACGCAGTGCAAAGCACTGCAATACATTGCAAGCAATGCGAAGTGCGAGCCTCGCACACTCAACCTCGTGACCAAGGACGGCGCCGACGGGCGGCCACAAGCCGAACCAGGCCCAGTTCCTTGGAATAGAAGTAAGAGTCCCTAGGTGCAAGCACTGTTTGGGGAGTAAACGTTCGGAGGTCCTCGTGGATTTCTTGGATTGTCTCTGGACCCCCGCCCCCTGCTCCTTGGTCTGGCTAGGGCTTCCTTCCTCCTTACCGTTCGCGGCTTAGGGAGGCCGTCTTGGGCTGGCCTGGGACCTTCTTGCATCCAGCTTGCGCCTCGTCGTGCGCCACTGGCTCCGGCTTTGACCACCCGAGGCGAAGACCTGGACGAGCGCAGATCGCCCCGACCCTGCGCATCGGCTCTGCAGGCCCAGAGAGGGTGAGGGGAGGCTGGGGCTGCAGGGCGGCCGTGCCCAGGCTCGGAGGCCGGGCCCTTGCCCTGTCGGTCTGGGGCAGAGCGCAGGCGTGCCGCCCGGGTCGCGAGCTAGGATAGCCCAAGGTACAGGAGACGCGTCAGGGAAGAGATCAATCAGCCTGCCCTCCTATGCTCCACAAGAGGTTCTCATCCCCACAGGCCCTGGGGACTCGGCAAGGTCTTGGGGCAGCGTGTGAAGTTTGAACATGGATGGTGAGAGTGCCCGTAGATTTCTTCCAGCACGGTTTTCGATTTCTCGTGCCCGCTGTATATTTATATATGTACCGATACTGATCTTGGCCTGGAAGGATCGGTGCAGGCGTATAGTTGGCGCCCTCTGACAAGCTGGCATGCAATTCGGCTGCTCCTCGAGCTTCCAGTATGATCTCGGCGTCACCCCAACATACTAGTGCTACGTGTGCGCCGCCTCCCCCAGGGGCGACGCGCGCGCCAAGAACTCTTGTAGAGCATAAGCTCCGTGGCGGGCGCATTCTGCTCATCCCGCTCGGAAAACGATGTACTACAAGATGGTTATACTATATGTTCGCGTCGGACGCACTCCTCCAAGGAGGACACATAGTACTAGTATGTCCTTGTGCGTTCCATGATCACCCCGAGCAGGACGACCAGGGCTTGACCTCTCAGGGCGGCACCAAACCGCCCAGTCTCATGCTTGAGTTGGGATCGGTGGTCGGCAGCCTGTGCCCGGATCGAGGGAATGAATCCTTCGTGTAGAATCGATTACGCGTAAAAGTGACCCTTCGCCAGAGTGACCTTTGGTGCTGGCTCCCCGGGGTCCCCCGATCGCCGAACGCGATGCGACAGTGGCATCATGCGCGTTTGTGTTTGGCCCCCTCGCGCCCCAAACAGCCGCGCACTAAAGGTCACTCTTACCCAGGGTCACTCCTGCGTGTGGCCGATAGAAGAAGTAATATTGCATAAACATAAGTTATCGGAGGTCCGCAAGGATTTCTTCGATCGGCGCTGGGCCCTCTTGGCATCACCTCTGGCGCCGCCCCTGGCGCCTCCGCGCGCCAGGGAGAGGGGGATGGCTTCGAATGAGCTCTCGGGTGGTCTTGCCACTCCCTGTGCTTGGTACACCCGCTCTGGAGGAGATCTCCCAGTCCGCTTGGGAGCCAGAGTTGTAGTTAAAAGTTGTGACGAGTGCATGGATGATGAGTACGCGGTTGGCGGGACGTGGTGCCAGAGAGGTCGGGGACTGGACGACGGCAGCATTGGAGAGGGTCAACCGTTTTGAGGGAGCCGAGGCCATCAGAGGTGTGGTCCCCGATCCTGTCGATGCTTAGCTCCCAAGAGCAGCGCATGATGGAGCTGTGCGACGAGCTCTCCGAGCTAGCAAAGGCAGCCGAAGAGGAGCCCTGCCTGCCCTTCTCCCCTCATTCCGCCTTCTCCGTGTGCTCGCACTGAGAGACCGCCGCTCCTCGACAAGTGAACTGCGATTCTAAGATGGTCTGGGCGCGTGGACCTCAACGAGTGAAAACATGGCTAGTCAGAGCCTGTGTCCAGAGCGAGTCGGGGCTGGTGACTGGCACTGTCGCCAATTTTCTTACAGGGGGGTGGTCTGGTCAAGCGGCGCGTGCCGCCATTGTGGGCGTTGCAAGTCAGGCCTAGTCGGGGCTAGTGGCATCTGCTGGCAGTGTCGGCATTGCAGTAAAGTGCGGCTAGTCATATCCAGTTGGGGCTGGTGGCAACTCATTGACATTATCGGCGCTGCAGTGAGTACACTAGGGGGGTTCAGTGGCAAGTACCGCCATTTTCAACACTGCAGGGCACTGGGGCTAACTGGGGCTGGTGGCCTAGTTTTAGCTACCAGTCGGCACATGACGCCAGTGCGGCCAGACACGGCTAGTCGGGGCCAGCGACGACGGTTGGCGCTGTTGGCATTTCATCGCAGTGGTGCTCGTCGACGACACCGGCGCCTTCGGCAATGCAGGACAGATAGCTTAGTGGGGCTCGTCGAGGCTAAGCGCAACTGGCACCTGCCGCGTCTGTCGGCTTTGCAGGGCAGAGGGCAATTTGGGGCCAGTCGGGCAAGCGGCGGCTGATGGCAGTATCGGTAGCGCAGGAGCAGGTTGGACTTCCCCAGGCCCGCCGAGGCGTGGGGCCAGCCCAGGCCAGTCGGGCCTTCATTTGGATGCTACCAGCATGTGCTGCCTGCGCACGGGATCGGTGGGGCCGTCGGGGGTGGTGGCGGTTTCCGGAATTGTTGTCAGGAGCAACGTTAGGGGGGAGTCGTCTTGGGGTGGGGATGCATCGGCCTCCAATCGTTTATTTTTCGCCGACAGGGGTCCGATAGTCGACCCCGCCCATGAACATGCTGATTCGTTATCGGGAGCCCATCGCCGATCTGTCGGCGACGTATTGCAGATTCCAGCTCGATGTTTCCCCATCCTGGGCAGTGGGCAGCTCGATCTTCCTCAGCTTTGATGGTCGCTACCAGCATTCTCCTCGCAGGAGATCAGTGTGGTCCGTTGGGGCTGGTGGCGGTTTCTGGCTTTGTCGGTCTTGGAGGCCAGCTGGGCTTGTCTGGAGACCTAGCACGAGGAGAAATCGCTCCAGAGCATTCCGGAGCGCTCTCAGAGCGTTCTGGAGCGCTCTGAGACAGCCGTGCCGCACGATACCGATGCATGCTCCAGACCCGCCGACTTTCAGAGATCCACCATGTAGCAATTTCTGGATTTATCCTCATCCTGGCTTCGTCTCAGCTTGTCAGGGCTAGTCGGCGCTAGTTGCATGTGAGGTTTTTAGTTCTGCAGAACACTGGGTTTATTGGGCGCCAGTCGCAACTGCCAGCCTTGCCTCAACGTGACATTGCCGCTCTTGACAATAGAAGTGATGCCACCTCAATTAAAGCACTGTCTTGATAATGAAGCTTGCTGCCCATGTGGACGTCTTCACAACGGTAGGGGGTGTGGACTTGAATTTACTATTTCTGGCGGAACGTTGTTTTTAGACAGCCCGGCCTGTATTTACCACGACATCGTGTAGTAAAGTGTAGTTTGGAGCCTGGAGACGGAACGTCATAAGGAGGAAGAGGAAGACGAATATGGGGATGATGTTGATGCCGATGCTGATGCAGATGATGATACGATGGTGATTCGGATGTGGATGAGCAGGATGTTAAGAAGGATACATAAGGATGATGACGAGAATCATGATACTAAGCATGATCAGGATGATGATGAGGAGGAGAGGAGATGCCGACGACGATGCGGATGATGCTGATGGTGCTTCTGATGAGGACGAATATGATGATGAGCTCGAGGATGCGGATGAGGATGAGGATGATGATGATGAGGATGATTATGATGATGTTGATGCTGATGATGCTGATTATGATGATGGTGATGATGGTGGCAATGCTGATGCGGATGCTGATGCTAATGCTGGTGCTAATGACGGTGACGACGATGATGATGTTGCTGCTGCTGCTGATGATGATGACGATGATGATGATGATGACGATGATTATGATGATGGTGATGATGATGGTGATGGTAATGATGATGATGCTGATGCTGATGCTGATGCTGATGCTGCTGCTGATGATAATGACGATGATGATGATGATGATGATGATGATAATGATGATGATGATGATGATGATGATGATGATGATGATGATGATGATGATGGTGATTGTGATGGTGATGGTGATGGTGATATTGATGGTGATTACCATTGGAGAATGAGAGCATTGCATTTGATTTAATGTGAACTGCAGATCTCAGTTTCATTCTCTATAGTTTGATATTGGGCTCAACATGTAGAACAGGTATGGATTCGTACGAAGTCCGCGGGGCGTGGCCCCCCAGCACAGTATCGAACATGGTACTGCCTTCCGCTCCGTTAGATGATGGGACTGTCGTGCTCACGCCAGAGAGGCCAATCTGGTGGTTGGCTGTTCGCCACGCTGATCGGCCTGACCCACGCATGGGGCGCCCCGAGCGACCGCGAGGCACTCCAGCGCCTCGCGGGCGCCGCTTGCGCCGGCGGCACGTTGTGGCGCGGCGGCTTGCAGGGCTGGTGTTGCAGCCGGTGGGGCGAGTCAGCGGAGGTGGCGCGCCTACGCGCCCAGCTCGCCTACACCCTGACGGGGCCGCGGGCACGGACGTGCCAGAGCCCGCGACGGAAGTGCCCGCCGCGGCGCCGAGCCCGAGGGCCCAGTACTGCCGCCGCTCCCGCCCGTCGGGATCGGCCCGCCAGCAGGCGCGCCGCCCAGAAGCAGGTGCCCGACGGCGGGTTTTCCGCCTTCCACGTCTTCAGCGCCGGAGCTGAGGTGCGGGGACCCACTTGGGCGGGCTAGGGCGGCGGCACGGCTGCTGCTGCTCCCCAAGGTGCGCCGCCCGCGGCCGCCGCCGCCCCGGCGGGCCCGCCCGCGGAGGGTCTTCCAGCGTGAGCAGGCCGGGCTCCTGGACCCTGGCGTCAGGGCGTCGCTGGTGGCCAGGTGCCACGCAGGGGCGCAGTCTGTGGGCGCGTTGGACGCCGGGGGCCTCTAGACGGTGTTCCGTGGTTTAGAGATGCAGGCAGGTCCGTTCACAGGCGGCGACGTGGGTTCGGGCTTGGCCGCCGTGGCGCCGGTTGACAGTTGGGCCCGCAGCCTCCCGCTCGACTTCAAGTGGGCGGGGGGCGAGATCTACGCGAACATCCGTGCCTCGGGGTCGCTCTCGGTTCGGAACTGCTTCACGCAGCAGCACGTAGGCTCCAAGCGCGGCGAGGAGTGGCAGGCTCTCTGGGCGACGGCCACGGCGGTCGACTTCGGCCTCGGCGGGTGCAAGGATGATTTGGCCCTCTATGCGAAGCTGAATTCAGACGGTCAGGTGGAGCTCGGGCTCAGGCACCTCTCGGCTTGCGTCTGCGGGGGCCGCGCCCGCGACGCCGTGGGCGCGGCCCGCCTCCGCGCCGCAGCGGCGCCCGGCTTGGCGATCGACATCGCGCCGCGCTGGCTTGTCCCAGAGGTGGCGACGCATTCAAAGATGGATCTCCAGCGCGAGGAGCGCATTCAGGCCGAGTGGCGGCGCCGCAAGGGCACGCCCCAGGGGCGAGGTCCCAAGGGCGGGGCCGGGCTCTGACCCCTGCCTCGATGGGGGGCGCCTTGGCAGCCAGGGGCGCTCCCGAGGCGCGCTTCGCGTCGGCTGCGTGATGGGCGGAATTTCCGTTGGCGACCGATCTCTGGAGAAGGCCAAGGATGCCCCGCGGGTGCGGAGACGCCTATGCCTGCACCTCCATCGCGTCCTACAGTATCGAGGTGCGTGGCCTTCCCTCGCCTCGACGAGCTTCGTCAACTTCTGTTGGCTGGTGGCGCTGCGCTCCCAGTGCCGCTGCTGCCCTGGCCTTAGGCGTCATCGTCCTCGAGCTCGGATAGGAACAGGCAGAGGGGGTTCAAGAGGTCCAGCTACGCGTCGGCATGCCGACGAGATATCAGCGGCGATGAATCGCACCTACGGTGGAGGATTGCAGCAGCAGGCTGGCTGCCCCAACCCAGAAGTGCGATCTCAGACGATCAGACTGAGTATCAGGACAGTTCCAACTATACTCGCCGTTCGGTGGCCCAGGGGTCTGTTCACGCTCGCCGGCCGAGGTCGGAGACAGGCGCGCAGTTGCCCAGCGAGCTGCTCAAACTCGGTGAGATCATGTACTCGGACCCCCGCAAACGCGAAGCCCACGCCGCCTTCATTGCTGACCGGACCGACGGGGCGGCCAACGAGCGGGCCGCGGACGTGGAAGAACCCGGAGGCGTTCCGAGAAGTAAGGGTGAAGGACGTAGTCAAGTTGCACAAAGATCTTGCGGCGATGGCCCCGACGGACAGCTCGCTGCAGCTTTACCTGCGGGATTCCAACCTCACTGACCCCTCGGGTGACAGGGGGGGGCTCAAGGGGCGTCGCCCTTCTTGCCGACCTTCGGAAGATGCGGATGGTCGTGGGCTTCTGGACGAGGGCCATGCAAAATGTGGGCGCCAGCGGCCAGCGCGATGCCCTCGTGAAGCAGCTGCGCGAGCTGACCGTGGAACGCTTTGCCGCCCCGTCCATCGAGCCTTCAGTTGAGGCGGATGCGCCGTGCATTATCATTTACATCTGGCGCGGTTTGTGCACCCTGGCGCTCAAGAACAATAAGATCGACGACTGGGTGGCGATCCTGCGCGGGCGCGTGGATGGCGCCGCGGTTGCGGGCGCACGCGGGTGGGCAGCACATTCGCGCAAGTTCACTTGCAAGGATCTGGTCGGCACATTTGTCACTGGTCAGATTATGGGCGGTCTCTGTGAAATCATGGACCCGGACTCGAACGAGGCGGATCAGCCATGGCCTGCCAACTGCGCCCCAAGTCCCGCTCGCGAGGCCACAAGCAGCAAGTCGCATGCAAAGTTCGAATCGGACCTCGCAGATGCCCGCGCCGAAATTACGACGCTGCACGACTTCGCCCTCGAGGTTATCAAGCCTGATAAGGATATCGACCTGAGGGCGCCTTGTGTTTCTAGGTTCCTCGCCCGGGTCGCGTCGTTTGATGCGTCGAGCGTTTCGAAGAGCGTCGATCCCGGCGAGGGCGTCGCGCGTGTTCGCCTGGCAGGGTACTTCCGCATCGTGGCAGGTGTCCTGAACCAGTTGACCAGGGCGACGGCGCCCTTCAAGCCCTGGGCCTTCAGGTTTCCCCGAGTTCGTCGAGGGGCGCAAGGCTGGGGGCGCAGCCGAGGAATATCGTTTTCTGGAGTTCTGGCACAGCCTGGTTGCGTACAAGGGTATCCTCAAAGGTTCGCAAGTCGAG